ATATATATATATATATTTACAGATTTTAGAGTGCATTTTTATTATTTAAAATGAAGAAAAAAAAAAATCTTCAATAGGTTAACTGACACAGCACTGTCAAAAAACTATGTAAAACAACAAAACAACAAATGGGTTAATGTATAAATCTCAACAAGCTGGGTCAAAATAACCCAGCATGCATTTTGTTCAATATTTACCCAGCACTGGGTTGCCAAATAACCCAGACATTTTTATTTTTAATGCAGCATTTTTTAGAGTGTATTAAAATTATTAAATGGATGCCACCTTATTGGGACAATAAAGCTAACGTTACACCTACCCATAGCCCCGATATACTTCATTATCAAACACTCGTCATGCACATTATTTCCACTTTTCAAATATTTTCTTAATTGAAAGTAAATGCGTTTCTGATCTGATATGCGATAGGAAAATTGAGAAGAGTGAGTTCGGCAAAAGGCAGATTTGAACTCGGATCGATTGCATCAAAAGGTACTTCTATATGCCTTACTCCCTACGCCACTACAGCTGTTACATGGCGGGTGTCAATTTTAATTTTGTGTGGCCCAACCAGGCATTAGTGTAAGTAACCTATATGTCAACAAGGCAGTCTATTTGCACAGTGTAAACAGACACTCCATTATAGAAGGGCACAGTGAAATGGCCTGATATTTAATGTACTGCCCCACAGAAACTTCCAAGGGTTCATAAAAATATATTAGATATCAAAATTTGTATTTCATTAGACCATGCATTAAATCCCTCTGCTTGTTTCTGTTGTGTTGTGCCAATTTTGTTATGTCATTTAAATTTTGTTGTGTTGTGCACTACTGGTCCACCGTAAATATAAGTTCTTGATTGGAAAAGTTAATTTCTGTCACTGCTGTGAACTAACCACCACAGAGAATTTGAAGAATATGAAAATATTCAAAAGCCAGCTGTCCACCACAGGTCTAAACCAGCCAAGGTACCAGTACAAAAACACTCAAGACTTCATCTAACTATCACTATTGACGAAATCCCAGAACATATAAAGATATATTTTTTCATCAATATTACACGCCCTTAAGTGGAAAATGTTTATCATACTAAAAACATGTTTTGGACAAAACAACTTTCGGAACAATATGCCACCTCTGTGTTTTTAAACTTTGCATATGGAATAACAAATGCCCATGATTTATGTCTGAAGGAATTCTTCAGGACAAGCACGCTGTTGCCCAAAGCAGAGACATCTCTAAGTGACCACCAACAGACACAAAGTATCTATTATTTACACAGCCTTGTGCAGAACTTTAAAATATGCAAAGATGCACCGTTAATCCCTTTAACTTCCAAGCGGGCATCAGACCCAGTGCTTCAGCATCAAAAGAAAGGTTCAGCAACTTGAAAATGCATTTAAAGAAGATATTTTATCGGCTAGTGTGTGGATACCTGCAGCACAAGTGGCTCAGGGTTGAACGCCAACGTCATCAGCAGCTGCATTCGTTCCGTGTCCTTAAGGTTCTTCAGCAGGAAGCTGCCAGAGTCCTTGGTCTCCGCGTACCTCCTGACCACACGGTCAAGAAGCCTCTGTGAGGGGCAGTGCACCAGATCCGACCAGCCCTCCACCACCTCTGGGGTCAGCAGCCTTACGTCCCCGTTAAGTCGGGCGAACTCCGTTTTGTACATACCCTGAATGAGATCACAGCGAGGTCTTCCAGTGGCCCGTTTGCAGATCTTCTGATCGATCTCTGCGAGCTCTTGGTTGGAGCCCAGGCGTTTGAGCACGACCCTGCGCGTTCCTTCCCTGGGTTCTCCATATTGAGCAAAATAAACATTCTTTACATTGAAAAAGTCTAGGAAGCGCAGGCGACCCCACATCTCGAAGGTCACCTGGCTGTTCATGAACTTGCGGCACCAGCTAGTGCCGAAGCAGGCCGGACACTTGTTGAGGCCGATGAATCGCCGGTCGGTGAGCTCGTTCCTCTGGAAAGAGGCTAAAAGGTTGTGAGTGTTCATCAGCAGGATAACAAAAAGAGCTACGATGAAGAGGAACTTGCCGCACCGGTAGACGCGGCCAAATTTGAGTGACAGTATCCGCAGCATGCTGACTGGCAGCAGCGCACTGAGAGTGAGTGCAGTTGATCTTTGTCAATGCGGCTGTTCCATCATTGCAATGTGTAATATCATCATCCCCATCAAGTTCACATTAGTTAGAGTTCTCCATAGTGGCAGCAGTGTTGCTTCTTGTGTTTTACAGAAGGGCTTTCTGGCTTTACGTCGAGTTGGCATTAAGCTGCCACATCAGGAATCCCTCTACCTGAAACAGATAAAGGAAATCAGATTAATAAAACCATACAATGAATTTGCAAGTGTAATAATGACATTATCAATAAGCTTCTTTCACACAGTTGGCATTTCAGAGGTATCTGCATGGATAGTTCACCCCAAAATTTAATTAATGTCATCATTTACTCACCCTCATGTTTTCCAAACCTTTATAATGTTCATTCTTCCTTGGAACACAAAAGAAGATATTTTGAAGAACACAAACCAACCAAACCAAAAAAAAACAAAACAAAAAAAACAGGTTTGAACATCATGATGGCGAGTAAATGTAGACAATTTCCATTGTTCAGTGAACTATCCCTTTAAGAGAACAGATTGTACCAAAATAAAAAATAAATAAATAAATAAATAATGGGGAAAATAGATGAACAATCAATCTTCATGTTAGTATTGTGTCAGTTTGTATATGGTAACATAATATAGCCAAACCTCAGCCTAGTGAGGACGGCAACAGGAAGTGGGAGTTGTTAAAATATTTAAATGTCAATGCTCACTCTATAACAGTGTTTAATGTGACTTAATGCTTCAAATCCAGTGATGAATGTTTCAAAGCATTTAACTTCAGCAGACGGCTTAGACAAAGACAGAATTACACAAGAGATGCATTTATGAAGTAAGCAGCATGTTAGAATATATTCAAATTGGTTAGCCAATTAGAATAGTTCACACAAACATTAATAATACAAAAATATATAATTAATAAGAGTTGATAAGAGGCTGAAAAATTTCATTGATGTAAAGCAGAGACTGTTGCTCAAAGAGAAGAATCTTTCCAGATGAATGTGGGATAAGGCTTCAAATTTAGGCATGGTTTTGTTCATCATCTTTAACCTCATAAAAGATACAGCATAACCAATAAAATCACTGCTTAGTATACAAGTGAGTGCATTTAGCATCACTGATCTTTTTTAATAAATTCAGTTAAATTAATGCATAAAAGGAACCAGCAAATCACACCTGTGTGATCTTTTAAAATATTTTCAACAATGAGAAAATATTTCAACTATGGTAATAATGTAAAATCCTACAGTAGGGGTGGGCGCTATACTGGTATGAAAGTGAGTACCGGTATTATGTTGTTCCATGATATGGATTTTGCTATATCGTGGATACCGTTATATATTCATGAATTCAAATTTAGCATTTATATAATTTTGTTCAATTTGGTACGCTTTGCAAATTTTAACACAAATGACGATAACGAGTCAAGGATGAACGTTTTTGTCCTCTTTGTGCAACGCATAGACTGTAAAGGTGCAACGCCGTACTACACAATTATTTTATTTGGGTCCGAACCGCGGTTCGTTTGCATCATCAAGCCAGCAGCTGTTTACCCCGTTGCTTAGTAACGACGGTGCAGGAGAAGGCGGAAAATGCACAACATTGCTCTCTGCACTTTTATATATTTACGTTTTTTGAACTGTTCGTTTTGTTTACAAAGCTTCGGTACATAACAACACTTACGTCTGTCTTACGAATGTACTGCAAATGCTCTAAAGAACGCTGAAGGCGAACATAAATGAGATGTACAGCTCTCTGTTTGCAGCGACAATTTCCATTTTTCAGTGAACTATCCCTTTAAGAGAGCAGATTGTACCAAAATAAAAAATAAAAAAATAAAAAAATAATGGGGAAAATAGATGAACAATCAATCTTCATGTTAGTATTGTGTCAGTTTGTATGTGGTAACATAATATAGCCAAACCTCAGCCTAGTGAGGACGGCAACAGGAAGTGGGAGTTGTTAAAATATTTAAATGTCAATGCTCACTCTATAACAGTGTTTAATGTGACTTATTCATGCTTCAAATCCAGTGATGGATGTTTCAAAGCCATTAACTTCAGCAGACGGCTTAGACAAAGACAAAATTACACAAGAGATGCATTTATGAAGTAAGCAGCATGTTAGATACATAACTGAGTTATGCCGGCTGCTCTCGTTAATGACAGGCAGCGCGTTTATTAGGCTGCTGTCTCTTTAACACGGAACGCACGCAGATCTAAAAATACTGTACGTGTGTTTTCTTTCTCATCTGTTTACGTTCGCGTAAGACAAAAAGGGCTGTGTTTATGATGATATACTGACGTATGCGTCTTATCGAATACCCGGTTCTTGGACATTTGGAACCGGTTCTAAAATGGAACCGGTTTTCGATACCCAAACCTAATCGCAATGTATAATGGGTAATTACGTAAGCTCCGTGAAAAGCATTAGCTTTGTTGTGTCCCGGAAAATAAACCGTGGAACTTTGACCAATGAGACAACAGTTTGCTCGCGCGCGACTTGTATTAACAAAGTTGGTCCGTTTACAAACTTGGCCGTGTGAAAGCGAACTGCACCAAGAATAAAAAGCAACAGAAGCTGTGTCTCATTTAGAAGGCTGCGCCCTCCGGAGGTCGAATCCTCTGTAGGATGCATATACGAAGTGTCCTCAACCTAGAATTAAACGAGACAGCCTTCATAGGACAGGCGGAAAAGGAAACAGGAAGTATCACGTTGCTATGACAACACATTTAGAGCATCGTTGCGCTCTCACACTACTTAAATGAAGGAAAATTATTTCTAAATTT